GCGGCTGAACCACCAGCAGCACGGCGCCCAGGAGCAGCGTGGCCATGCTGGACTCCAGGGTGGCTTCAGTGGGCCGGGCGCCGCTGGGTCATGGAGCGTTGCCGCGGGGGAATGCCTCCTGCGGGTCAGTGACACATGGATGTCACAGGCTGATCACTAGGGAGGAAGGGAGGAAAGTATTAACCCCAAATAAAGACAGCACTTAGCAGCTGACCGCTCTGGGCTCACCAGGGACGCTGTTTCCCTCCTTGTACCCCTCCCATGTCTCTTCACGTTTGTATAGCAGAGGGTGACACACTTGAACTGTAACGGGTCAGACACTGGATGTTTTAGGCTTTGCAGGTCTCTGTGGCATCAACTGCCCCAGGTGGGCCCTACAGTTCTGTTGTTAGTGACCAGGTGAGTCTTTTCCAACTTACCAGCATCCCAGGTATAGGGTAAGGTAGAACAGCTTCACAGGCTTTTCTGACTGCAATGCTAACCAAAGCCTTTTCTTCCACAATACCACTGTTGTTGTTATATGTTGTCAAGTTGGACCTGACTCATAGCGATCCCTCCTTGGGTTTCTGAGGCAGTATCACTACGGAAATACATTGCCCAACCTTCCTTTGAGTGGCTGGTGGCTTTGAACCACCAGTTTTCTGGTTAGCAGTCAAGTGCCTTAGGCACTACGCTACCAGAGCTCCTCACGATACCACTTGGTGGGCTCCAAAGGCCAATCTTTAAGCTAGCAGTCCGCACAATTATGCCACCTATCCACTGCCATAGGAGCTCTGGTAGTGTATTGCCTAAGGCACTTGACTGCTAACCAGAAGGCTGGCGGTTCAAACCCACCAGCCACTCCTCGGAAGGAAGATGGGGCAATCTACGTCCATAGTGATACTTCCTCAGAAACCCCACCAGGGGTGGCTATGAGTTGGGTCCGACTTGACAGCACATAACAACAACACAACAACATCCACTGCCATAGCTCTAATACTGCTGTGTGTCTACAGTTGACTCATAGGACCGTACAGAACAGAGAAGAACTCCGGCACGGGGTTTCCAAATAATCTCCACCAGAACAGATTCCCTGGCTTTTCCTCCTGCAGAGCCGCTGGTGGGTTGGAAACAGCAACCGTTCAGTTAGCAGCTGAGACTTTAGCCATTGCTCCACCAGGGCTGATTACAACTCTTGCGAAAAAAAAAAAAAAAAAGAGTTGTGTTGGATCCATGCTGACTCTTAGAGACCCTTACAGGACAGAGTAGAACTGTCCATAGGGTTTCAAAGGCTGTAATAGCTCTACAGCAGCCATTAAACACACACACACACACACACACACACACACCATTTGCCAGAGGGTAGCGTCTCACTCATGGCATCAGGGTAGAACTGTGCACCACAGAATTTTTATGGCTGATTCTTAGGAAGCAGATTGCCAGGTCTTTCTTCCCAGGCACCTGTGGGTAGCTTTAAATCCCCCACCTGTCTGTTAGCAGCCAAATGAGTTAACCATTCGTGGACTCCAAAGCAGCCATAGACAGTACAGAAGTGAATGGACGTGCTGTGTTCCAATAAAACTTTATTTGTGGGCACTGAAAATGGAACTTCGTATAAATTATGTGTTCAAATTCTTGTTATTATTATGAGTTTTTTCAACCATATAAATGTTTGGCTCTCTGGCCATCCAGACACAGGGCCAGATGTAGTCCATGGGTCACAGTGTGCCAACCCCTGCCATAAAGCAAAGCATTAGAAAGCTGTTGGATTTCAGCAAGCAGCAATGCAATATCTGCTACCTCCAGGCCCTGGCAGAGGGGCCGGGGCCAGGGCCAGCAAAGCAGGATTAGTCTTGCCCTCCAGAGGTTTCTAGTCCAAGAGGGTAGGTGAGCCTGTCCAGAAGTCTAAATGAGCAGACCATCCTTCACCCTCACTTGCCATGGCCTCCTTGTGGGGGAATAATTCTTCCCAGGAACTTGATTTGTGCTTGGTCCATGGCCTGCGGGCAGAAGTAACAATGTGCCATCCCTGCCTAGGCCTGAGCAGGTCTTGTGTGTTTCCACTTCCTGCCTGCATTTCTGCCATCACCATGAGAAGGTGCCCTACCCAGCCACTGGTTCCAAAGAAGGATAACAGCCACATGCCTACAAGTCCATGGTGTGTGGCACTGCCACCTCAGCTGACGAGTGAGGGTGCCAGATTGTGGCTTGAAGGCACTGGGTTTTGGGGCGGTCTGTATGGGGCATTCATTTGGCCAAGGTTAACTGATGCAACCTGACTGCCTGCATTAGTGTGATGTAGGTTATGATGGGAGTGTAGGCACATTCTGGCTGGATGCTCTGGGGTTCCCAGGGCCCAGGGTTAAAACAATCGTCATGTGTACGAAACTGTCAAATTTACAAGGTGGCCTCATAGTCCACTAGGTTGATCTTCAGCACAGCCCTGAAGGCAGGAAGTCAGGGCAGACATCAATACTATTTTAGAGACAATTGGTTCTTGTCCCCAAACACAAACATCTAATCCACAGCAGAGTCAAAATTCAATTCTCTAAACGTAGGGCTCTCTTTCCACAAACTGGCTTCCTTGTGCCACATGTCTCTCCACCCATCTGAGATTTCTTAGCATTTAGATGTGGAAGTTCCTCAAGGACACAAGCACAGATGGACTAGATGCTATGGAGTTCCCAAAGGAGAGTGGCTCATGGTCCATGTGTTCAAGGGGATGACAAATAACAACGTGTATTTGACAGAGTCCCAAACAGAAGGGACCAGAAGCTCTCACTTGAGTGATTCCTGCTTAAGCCCATCAAGGATAGGGTTAGAAGCAGGCCCTGATTGCAGACTGTGGGATTTATAAACACAGTGAGAATATTCCCCATTCAAAAGCCCCATGCCTTTTTTTATACTCTGGCTAGGTATAAAAGTCACTTCATTAGTTTTGAACTTGTCAAGGATGTATAAATAAAGAACAAAATCCAGGGATCTCATTTTTATTACCAGACCAGTTGATCTTGTTCACTCAGATATTGATTGTACAGGTGCTTTGAAAGTGTATATTAAAGAACAAGCAATTAAACAGATGTTAGCCTTTAGAGGGGAGCTTTGGTGGCATAGTGCCAAAGGCACTTGACTGCTAACCAGAAGGCTGGTGGTTCAAACCCACCAGCCATTCCCCGGAAGGAAGGTTGGGCAATCTACTGTAGTGAAACCACCTCAGAAACCCAAGGAGGGTCGCTATGAGTCGGGTCCGACTCGACAGCACATAACAGCAACAACAGCTTTTAGAGGAGGCAGTGGTGGGTTGGTGGTACGATTCTCACCTTCCATGAAGGAGACCCGGCTTCCATTCTCAGCCAGTGCAGCTCATACATACTCTGTCAGTGAAGGCTTCTGCAATTGCTGTGATGCCGAATGGGTTTCAGTGGAGCCTGTAGGCTTAGACTAGGAAGAAAGGCCTGGCTATCTGCTCCTGAAATCAGCCAGTGAAAACCTTCTGGATCACAATGGTCTGATCCTTCTGGGTATGAGTCAGGGGTAACTCCATGGGAGCTAACAACAACAGCCTTTAGAGAATGCAGACAAACTATGGAGAAAAAAAAATGTGTAGAGAGGATTGGCCAAGTGAAGATGTGGTTTCCGGTTGGTTTGACTGATTAGATGAGCTCAAGTTAATGGGCCATTCATTTTATCAACTCATGGTGTGAGTGTACTTTAGTCTAATTCCTTTTTTCTCAACTGTCTGGGCTGACCAAACAGACTAGTTGCTCTTGCCTCATCCATGTTTGATATGTGAAGGAGTGGCCAGGGAGTAATGGTAGAGAGCCTCACTCTGTGTGGTGGGCATCATCATCATCCTCATCTTATCGGTCTGTATTCAGAAGGCTCAGGAAACCAACACCAATGCAAATGGTTCAACTCCTAAGTGACAGATTGAGACTAGGCCTGACTTGTTGACACTTTTTTCACACTACCATGAGGCATCCTGGTCAGCAGAGGGCACATCTGAAATTTGCTCATGAATTACCAGCAGACAGCAGCAAAGAGATGAAGTAGAGACTGTCCTTGACAAAAAACCTGGGCAGTTAGTAGTTTAAAAGCTCCTCATTTCTTTAATACGTTCTAAACATGCACCTAACAACAACACAAACAAGTATTTTCTTATGTCCAGGCCTGGGCCTTCTCATTCCAAAAGTATATGAGGTCAATGGAAAAAATAAAAAGTTACAGTTTCATACTTTCACATATTATACACACAAACATTATATATATCATATTTTATACATTTACACGTACTAAATACATACATACACACACACACATATATATGTATATGGAGCTCTGGTGGTGCAGTGCCTAAGGCATTTGACTGCTAACCAGAAGGCTGGTGATTCAAACCCACCAGCCACTGCTTGGAAGGAAAACTGGGCAATCTATTTCCATAGAGACACCACCTTGGAAACCCAAGGTGGGGTCACTATGAATCGAAATTGACTTGATGGCAGTGAGGTGTTTTTTTTTTTTTT